TCGTACGATCCGCTAGTGTAATCGTCCGACATTTTGGCGGTGATGTACGTAAACTATGTAGATAAGATAAACGTGTGGGAGTAGAGGGCGAATAAGATGGTAAGTGTGTCGTTTAGGCTTCGGGGCCCATAACCTGTTGGCGCAGTGGTGGTGGTTGGTGGTTAAGACACGATTAGCATTTAGCGCCCGTTGAGAGGGCTTATATACCTACGTACAAAGTAACTAGAATATTCTAATAAATACTATTCTAAGTAATTGTCCATTAAGGGAAATAAACGAGAATGTACTCGAGGAGTCGGGAGACGACTCTTCGAGGGCGGAATGTCCGAGTACCAACTACTCGGTTCTATTCCGACATCAAGGATAACCAGATCAAAAGATATCATGGACTCGACATTCAGCTTGCGCCCAGTTGACAGAAGGCACACCAGCTGAAGGATGTATTGATAAGAGTTAGTTGCAGGAACAAAATCGCTGAGTTGCCATACCTTTGTCTCCAAATCGGCTATGCTTGTTGCCCGAGCGTGGCTGCCGGCTTGGGACCTGAGCTCCTCAGTGAACCTGTAATTGGCCATGCAATCCTTTCTTGGGCCTCGGAACTTGCAATTGGCAGATAGATCTGGATCAAATGAGGTGTTAATCACATAAACACTGTCCAAGTCATTGAGAGACGATTTGTTCAACAAATGTCTAAGTTGATCAATCTGAGGATGGTTCAGAATCTCATCGTCATTGTCGTCATCATCATCCTCCTCAATATCAGTGCATGGAGAAGGAGGACGTTCTTGAGGATCAAATGTCTTGTACATGACTGAGTAAGAGAGGTCAGAAAGAGAGAAGAGATTTTCCGAAGAGGGAGGGGTTTGGAGACAGCAAGCCCATTTGTCCATGTCTCGAGAATAAACCATGGAGCTGGATGAAATCATCAGCAAACAAAATAACATGGGAGTCCAAATATTAAGCCTACTCTTTCTGGAGATGCGAGAAAAATGTGTCAGATTGAAGAATGTTAGAAAGGTTTATATACAACGGTAGCCTAAGCTCCTGCAATAGTTCTTGATTAAACATAGCTGAGCTGCCGATAGGCCAGCGTGATTGGAAATGTTGAACAGCAGGGATAAGAACTGAAAGTATCAGACAGCCAATGGGAGAATCTAGTTGGCAAGAATGTAGAAGACACAAAACCAAGACACACAAGCAAACTTACGTGTCGTCGGATTGAGGATGATGTTTGCAAGCTTGTCTATGGAAGTGACATGCATATCATCAAAGTATTTCTTCACATCTGCTGAGGCGATAAAGATAAGAAAATATATAGTTCCTAATAGCACAAATTAAATCTTCACTGCTTTGGAGAGATATTTGTGAATTTTACCAGCACCAGCAAGACGGGCGTATGCATGGCCGAGCTTGAGCCAACGTTTGAACTTGGTCTTGCTCATATTTAAGTCATGCTGATGGATGATTGTCTTTGCAGTCATTTGTTTCTTGTTTCGAATGCTAAGGTCCTCGCTGCAGTCAATATGTAGAAAACAAAAGGGAAGACAGGCGGCTCACCTTTTTACCTTAGCTGAGAAATGTATCATACTGATCATGCCGACGAAAGAGACGACTCGCGCCAGAGCGTCAGACCGCGCACACCTTTCAGATATGGCCTTCAGAGAATTAGTCTGCATTGCCATAGACGCCCCTTCCCATATACCGCCTTTCAAGAACGAATCCCAGTCGTTAGCGGTAGTACCTTCAGATAGCAATTGGATCATCTCTTGCGACAAAACCCGTATCATGGCGTTTTCGATGTAAGGCTCCATGTTGCCAGATGGAGCGACGGCAGATGAACCCTCTGTCCAGTTGTGGTGGGAAGCCGGCGCACCTTTCTTCTTCTTCAA